TATATTGTACGGTTTAACTTTTTCTAGCCATTTTATACCTAATGTAATATTATGATTTCCTTGGTATATTTTAAATGGTATTATTAAGGGTATTCCTCCTATAATTATTTCTTTTTCCGTTGTTTCTTCATTTATGTTTACTATCTCGCTAGGTAATCGAGGGTATATGTGTCCTGTTTTTATAATTTCTTCTTCTAATACTAACTCTCTTGTTATGTAATTTTCTTCTTGTCCTGTATTTATCAAAATTTTATATTTTCTTTGGTCTATTATTCCTGTTACGAAATAATGATATGGTGTTATTTCTTCCTTATCTAATATGTTTTGTGGGATTTCATAGTTTCTTTTAGATGTACTCATTCTTAATGAGGTAGCTCTTGTTAACGTATTTGGTAGACTTGAAGTACTTAATCTTTCTTTTATAATTTCTAAATCTTCTTCTATGTCAATTTCTCTATGGCTATAGTTATTATTGTCTATTACAATAATTATTTATTCGAAAGGATTTTCTATCTTTATTTTATCAATTTTATTTTAAGCTATTATTTTATGTTTTGCTGTTAATATATATAAGTTTTTACATCTTGCTGTAAATATTTTACTCCCTAGTGGTAACTCTATTCCAGACATTTTTTAATATAATACTAATGATTTATCTATATTTCTATTTGTTAATGCTACTGTATAATTGACACTTATTATAAATTTAAATTTTTGATATATTAAGTTTCCTTTTACTGCACTAATTACACTTTTTTCTATAGGGTGTATAATTCTATCATCTGCTAAGTATATTTCAATAGGTGTATCTATTCCTTCTCTAAAACAAGCTTTTATTAATATTTCTGTTCCTCCTAAATGTACATATTTTATTGGTGTTTTAGCTTTTATATCTTGTATTTCTTTATTTATTATTCGTTTACTTAGTATAGGTATATATGTTTTTCCTCTTGCATATTTACAATCTATAATATGTTCTTTTTGACTAACTACATAATATTCTTCTTTTTGTCTTTTAAACCAATTTCATAGAGTAGGTATTTCAAGTACTTTTTCAACACTTAAGTCTAATTCTTTTCCTTTTATTTGTTCAAAAATTGTATTATCAAATATAATTTTTTAGTCTGATAATTCTTCATTTTGATAATCTTCTTTAGATATTATTTTTATCTCATCTTCAGACATTATATTTCTTCATCTGTTTCATTATTATCTAGATTAATATTTTCTTCTTCATTTTCAGTTTCTATATCTGATACTTCATATATACTATCGTCTTCACTTAATTCATAGTCTATGTATTCTATTTGCATATATTTATGATTATCTATAATTACTTCTGCAATTTGCTTCATTTTCGGATCTTTGGGTAGTTTACAATCTCTAGCTAAATGTCCTATCTTTCCGCAATTATAACAAGTACATTGGAATATTTTTCTTTTTGGTCTATATGGTCTTTTTATTTTATTATTTTTTTATATAATATCTTCGTCTTGGTTTCTTATATTTATACTTGGTTTTAGTGTTTCTATAATTTTTATACCTTTTAGGCTTTTGCTTTTTATTTGTACATCCAAACTGTGGTGCTATATTATTTTTACAACAGGCTAAGTTTTTGTTTAGTACTTTTTCCATTTTTAATTTTTCTTTTTGGTTTTCACATAGTTGTATGAATCATTGATGTAATAATTTTATTCTAGCTCCTAATGTATCTACTAATCCAACATCATTCCAATCTTTAATAATTTTTGTGCTAAATGGTTCTGGTAATTTTGTAAAATATTGTTGTCTTATTTCTTTTGATTCATTTAAATTGTATTTTGCTTTGTAATAGTATTCCTTAAATGCACAAGTGTATTCTTCTATATAACACATTTTACATATAGCTAATTTTGTCATAAGTTGCCTATTTATTATTTTTTCTCTGTTCTGTTCTCTTATATCTGTGGTCATACCTCCAAATTCATTTCTTATTGTTGATTCATATTTATCTAGTATATCTATATTTGTTGCCTGATGGAGATCCATCCATTTTCTTGTCACTTCTAAGTACTTCTAAACTTTCTAAAGGGTAAATTTTCTATCCATAATCGTGTTATTCCTACAAATGTTCTTTCGATATACCTTGGTGTTTCTGTTGTTTTTATTTTTTTATCTATTAATTGCTTAGATCTATTTCCTATCCATAGTAATATTGCTTTATTTATATCTGTAACATAATCTAGATCTAAAAAACTATATTGTTCATTTATTGGTTTGGTGTCTAATTTTTATTTAATCTACTATTCCATATTGCGTTAGTTCTATCTGATTGTTGATAACTTTCTGCATAATAAGTTGGTGGTGTCCATCTAGGACTAATTTTAGGACTATTTCTGGGACTATTGTCTGGAGTTTTAACTCTAGACGTACTAGGTCGATTCATATTTCCTGTGTTTATTTCTAATTTTTTAGGTTTATTTACCTGTTCTAGAATTTCTGTGTAAGTTTCACTTAGATCACTTATTTCTGATTTTTGGTCATTTATTGTATCTGATTCATCTATTTAATTTATTTCAAGGTCTTCATTTAGTTTTTGTTCCATCTCTTTTATTTCATTAGTTAATTCTAATTCTTTTCCCTTTTCTATCTGTTTCTCTTTTTGTTTAGTATCATGTAATAATTATAACCTAGCTAGTTTTTTTTCTAATTCACTTATTCTTGTATTTTTTATTTCTTCTAAATGTTGTACTTCTTGTTTTGCTTGTATTTTTTACTTTTTCAATTTCTTTTGATTTGTCTATTTTTTCATTTTCTTTTGTTATTCTTATCATAGCTGTTAGACCATCTTCTAATTTTGATGTTTCTTTTTCTAACATTAAATATAAATTATTTCCTATTTTTTTATATCGTCTTCCTAGGTTTGAAAATATTATTTTTCTCATTAATCCATCTTGATTTTCATATGTCTTTTCATCTACTGCAAACTCTTCTTTATTCATTATAATTTATAAATTATGTTTGTTGTAATTTATATTCAAGGTGATCTATTTGTATTTCTAACATAAATATAACTTTTCTTTGTGCTAATATTTATTTATTACATACTCCTGCTAACATGTTTTCTATTATTCTTTCTTTCCTATGTTGTAGTTCTTGTCTTTTTTCATCTTTTTTTCTTATCAATTGTTGCCTATATATTTCTTTATTCATACTGTTTTTTCAAATAACAAACATATTTGTATTCTGTTTTTGAAATTATATTTATCAAATAATTTGTCTTATTGTTACTTGTTTTAGTAAGTTCTAATAGTTCATATTCTATGTATAAGGGTTTTAATTTTTTCCATATCTTTCGTACTTTTTTTATCTATCTTGGTTTTTGTTATTTTAGTTTCTTTGCTTCTTGTATTATTCATTTATATTTTTCTGTACAAAATTTTAAAAAGTTTACTTAATTTTTTTGGGTCTTTAATAAATTTTATCTTATAAATATTATTACTTTGTTTTTGCGAAATTTCAAACCTTTTTGGTTTAATCATTATATTCTATTTTATCATATTGTTTTATATTTTCTTTAGCTTTTACCCAATACTGTAAATACATATATTTTATCATTGATCTCTGAATATATCTATATCATCATATAAATCATTTATGTCATAATAAAATTCATCATAAAAATTATCTTGTATATCTAATTCAGCCCCTTGAGTTGTTATTTCTATTATCTCATATGTTACTAATATATCATAAATTGCTCTTTTTATATCTGTATTAAGATCCTTTAAGATATAGAGTATTAATATCTTGTAATTAACATCATCATCCAGTAGATAAGTATTCATTTTAATTATTTCCACTTTCACTAAAAATAATTTTATTCCTTCCAACCTATTAATGGATTATACTTATTTATTATGTAATAATAATGGTTTAATAAGCATCTCGTCTAGTCACTGCTACAGTTTTCTTCTTTGATCAGTTACCCTAACAGCGCCTCAACTCTATTAACTCCCCTCACGGCCTTCTTTGCCTATCGGTTTCAACCTTAGGCTGGCATAGTGTGGGCATACTTATTCACAGAATATTTCTGTAGCAAACTTTCTAAAGATGGTTATTATAACATTATTAAGACATGATAAACAATTATAATCAACAAGAGATTATCAGGAAGAAATAGATTTAGCTACTCATGATCATAAACGAATATACCCGTTCTTGTATCTATATTCTCATCAAGGTTGATTATTTTTTGTACTATGTGGTTTTACATTTTTATTCCATTTCTATCTATTTGTATTCCTAGAAATTCTATCTGTGGTTTCATAATTTTTGCTTTATTTTTACTTAAGCTTATACTTGAGTGTTTAATTATATATATAAATAATAACACGACTAATAATAATAAACGAGCATATTAAATTTATATTCAAAAGATTATGTGAACCATAAAAACAATCAAAAGACAACCTGTATGAAAAATATACATTAAAAAAGCTCATTAAGAAAATTAATGAAAAGAGACAAAGCAACGTGAAATTCATAACTAAATATGATAACCAAGTGGTTGGTTTTAACATAATACCAATAACAAAATTAACAAATGGACAGAAACGAAGCAACAACAATAATAAACTTATATAAATAAATAAAGTAACAATAACAAAATCAAAGTGGCAACAATAAAATATCTAAGCTATCAAATTTTCTATTTATCATCACAAATAATAAAACTAATAAAATAATAACAAATAGAAAGATTACTAAGGCCATATATGAACGGAAAGAAATAAAACAACAGAAATAGCTAAATAAATCAAAGAGACAAGGGAGAATATGATCAACATAAACACACTACTTAACACAATAGATTAAAAAACTAAACAAACTTACCAAAATCATAAACAACAAACAAATTAATAGCAATAAGTAATAAAGAGAGAAAAAAGTGACTAATAGTAAATAATAAAACTGACCCCCAAGTATCAATATATGATAATAAAATAATTTAGACTAACCGGAACCTGATTGACGGAACTCAATGTTGTCTTCATGGTTGCTCAGATTTATTGTGAGATCTGGTTTAGTGAGGTTTTACGCGGAGGTCCGAATGTTGGTTGAGCTTTCCGTAAAGTTGGCTGGTGCATTAATCATGAGCTGGTGATGGAGCTTGAAGGGAAAGAGGGGGGCGATAGTTTGTTGTTCTATGGTGGTCTCAGGTGGAGCTTGGATTTTGGTCTAGTGTGCTACTTTTTGTTCTGTTGGTGTTAGGATTGGAATATATAAAAAGGAGACGAACAATTGGGGTTTTGGGGTTTCGTATATTGTCGTAAAAAAGGGTGAAGGGATCTGAGGTCTTCGGAGTTTGTGGTGTGCGTTTGGATCTGAAAAATGGAGGTTCGTTTGGAGGTCTGTCAAGGTGGTTCTCCAGAATTCTCGTTGAAGCTGGCTGATAGTGGTGGCATTTGGTGGCTTTCAATTTAGGCAATGATTGATTGGAGAAGATTGTAAATGAGGGTTGTGTGGCGGCTGATATAGTTCTAAAATATAGGAGGAGAAACTTTTAGAATATTTTCTATTTTGGAATATTTTTATTATTCTAGTCTAAAAAAACTATCCACCACCCTTGAATTAATTACTAAATTCTTATTAAAATAGAGTATTGAAACCACTCAAACTACACTACCATTATTTTAAAATTGTGGCCAAAACCACTAGTTAATACCATATCTATGTATGAAATCTTATCCATATTTGAATGAATTTTTAGACTCTGCAAAATATTAAAATGAATATTAACAAATGTAAAGGAATAAAATGAATATTAAAAACAATATAACAAGCGTAATCAATGACATGTAAAAATTGTAAATTAACGAAAATAATAATTTAATATCAATGAAGAAATATTTAAATTTATTTAATAGGCCATAACAAGAAATAATGTAATTAATATTAACTCATTAAAAATTTTAAGATCTGATAAATAAAGATAATTATCGATAAACTTATTATAAAAAGTCTATTTCTACCTGTCATATCTAATGAAACCATTATTACAACATGTTCCAGTAATACCAAATCCCTATATGTACTAGCAAGAACAATAGGAGCTATTGGGAAAGACAGAGTCAATTCCCTAAATGGTCACCCAAGTTAAGAGAATTGTCTTAAAATATCATTTATGTTTCATTTAAGACGAAAATATCACTTAACTATCACTATTATCCTCCAAATATACTTGACATTTCAAAATCATCACTCTCTCCTTGTTGGCATGATATATAATTAAATTTCTTTTTTAATAATAGACTACTTTGATTCATTGAACCTATTTAACTGATCAAATTATTTTTAATTTTTTATTAGTTTATTAAGAATAAATTTTCATACATAAAATCTGTTATCATAATTAACCTTTTTATTTTTATGTTATGAAGAATACAATTTAAAAACGTACTATAATTTTATTAATTTTTAATACTTATAAATAGTTATATTCAAAAAGAAATATTGATATACAAATCACTAATGAACGCTAATTTACATCAATTAATCATAAGTTGTATGATAAATAAATAATATTAAAGGCCTATTATATATTAAAAAAATATTTATTTGGGTGCTTTGAAATCCATATATACTTAAAATTTCGTTTTTAAAAAGAAAACAGTAACTGAGTAATATTATGCTCTTTATCCATTAAAAATACAAAATACTTCAGAAGTCTCCTTAATTTTTTGTTGATATGCCTAGTCATTAAATCATCATTTTGAAAAATAATAGGCCGATTCAATTCATTAAATTTTTTGTCTCTACAAAATAAATATATATATTACATGACAATTTATGAAGATTATAAGAATTTTTTTTAAAAGTCTAGTAACTTTATAAATTGTCACCAAAAAAATTTAATGAAAAAATCTCTGTGTGCACTTATTACCTGATAATTTTAAAACTCCTAACTAAATTATTTAAAAATTTTGAGCAATTCATTTTACAAAAGTATTTAGAAAAATTTGTAAGATTGACAAAAAAAATGGTAAGAAAGAGAAAATAATTATTTATATTTTTTAAATTTGATTTTTTATTTTTACTCTTTTATTTTATATTATATTATAGGGATAATGCATAAGTACCCCTCAACCTATGCCTTATATCTCAGAGACACATTTTATTTTTTGGCATAACATAAAAAAAGTTAATTATGATAAAAGAGTTTAAGTATGAAAATTTATTCTTAATAAATTAATAAAATTAAAAATAACATGATCACTATTTTAGTTAAATGAGTTTAGTTAATTAAATTTGTCTATCATTAAAAAAAGATTTTAATGACATGTCATGCCAACATGGTAAGAGTGATATTTTGAAGTGTGAAGTACATTTGAAGAAAAATAGTGGTAGTTGGGTGATATTTTGGTCCTAAATGAAACATAAATGATAATTTCAAGACAATTCCCTCAATTTGGGTGACCATTTAGGGAATTGACTCGGAAAGACAAGCACAAAATAAATCTGCTTAAAAGGGCAGTAGCCAAAGAAAACGTAAGTCCGCACTTTCACTTTTATTAGAACCAAGAGAAGACAAATTTATGTAAGAACAAACAATTCAGGCAACAAACAAATGAACCAAGTAAGAAAAAAAATCAACACACAAGATACCAAATTTTAATGTGGAAAACCTCTTTGGTGTGAAGAGTAAAAAAGAAAATGCAAAATATACAATAAAGTAAACAAGAGTTGCTAAAGTGTTTTCGAAAAACGGACAACAACAAAGTGCCAAACCATGAGCAACTAAATCACAAGATAGCACAAAAAACTAGAGAAATCTAGAGCTACCCGACTTATACTCGCCATTTTTTCAGTTCCCAATCAAAGATTGAATTGAAAGAACAAGCTATCAAAAAATAAGCTCATTCGGATAATCAAAGAAGTAAGAATCTCAATTTGAAATTGACTGCTAGGGGTTGTGCGAAAATCTTCACTCTATCACTATTCTCTCTACATGAGTTATCTCAATCTTTTATGCCCATTCTAAAATAAAACCTAAAAGAAAGTATTACATGTGTACCATAATATTGAGCTTATACACAAAGTCAGGTAGTCAAATTGGGCTAAATTAATTCATAAAGAAATGGAAGGAAGACTCAAAACCTTCAACTTTTATTTATCCACATAGGAAGGAAAAAAGTCCCAAACCAAACAAGAGCAAGTTATAGTCGCATACCTCTAGCAACATTAACAACTAATGGAAAACAGGAGCACCTATTTTACATGGAACAAATCTTGAAAACCAAAGAAAAAGAAAAGCTTTATATTTATATTCCTTACCACTATTCATGAAAATAATCAACCACCTACTCTAATTATTAGTCTTCAATCTGATAAGATCCTTCACGCATTTTAAAGAGTTTCTTTAATGTCTACCAACTTAGTAGATTGAAAGAGGGACAAATAAGAGTCACCCAAAACAGAAGACCTCCCAAAATTATCATGTCTTCAAGAGTAACAGTAGATTCATCCCACAAAAACACAAAACTTATAGTCTCAATGCACCACCTTTCTGCCAACCCTAAAATAAATTTTTGATTTGTCTTTACTCTATATACTAAACTCTTCATAGCTTCGTAAATTCTCGAAAGTTTCGATACAAGGTGATTGATAACCTCCATCATTTAAATCCATTATATTCTTTCCATGTATTTGTGGATTACTCTATCCATCGCAACCATGAAAGGAGACTTTCAATGGCCAAATATATTCAGATGGAAAATCAATTAAAGGAGTCTTCAAATTTGGTTCTTCATTCAAAGAAAAAATAGGATTTAAGAAATGGGCTTAGTGAGTATAAACTTATGATTTACTTTTCATAATATTCTTCGTCCTTTAGTGAGTATAAACTTAAGATTATACGTGCACCAAAATTGAGGAACTATATTTTTCTCGGGATGTTATACATAAAAATAAAATAAAAGATACGAGTAAATTTTGGGATTGTGTAAATAGAATATATATAATAAAATTTTTAACCAATCTACATAGTGTATCTTTTGAATACATGTGGTTCAGTCATTGATGATAATGGATATTATTTAATCTTATGTGCATGAGCTTTTAATATTAATCCCGATAAAAATGATGATTGTTGTAGAATATCTCTCAATGTAAAAATTGTGAACTCTGATGGAAATAACAAAACAAAATATCAAAATATTTCTAATTATGACATAAATTCACATAATAGCATTGATCAATTCTTAATGTGAATCCGAAACTTATTTAAAAATAGTTTAGAAAAAAACCATTTTTTTGTGGGCTATTTTTACAGAAAAAATATGAACTCGGATCATCAATAATTATTTGATATATTATTTTGTAATATACGTAACACATAGTATCTATATCATTTTAGTGGAATGGTGTAAGTTTACTCTTTTTGAATATGTATGGCTCTACCACTGATGGAAATGTGTATTACATAAATTTTATGTGCATGACCTTCAGTTCTAGGTCGTGATAGAGGAAAACAATTGAAATAGGCTTACAATAAATTAAAAAACTCATGACTTTTGAAATAAGCATAACAAAATGAAATATTACATGTTGTAAGCTTTATAGTATATCATAAGGTAAATACTTATGTTACCTAAACTTAAATTGAATCAACTTTCAATTCTCATTCCATATGGAGGAATATAATTGTAGTAGGCTGATAGCCAACATAATATTAGTGAATTTTGTGATGGAGATAACAAAACCAAAACATGACAAATTATATATATAAATATATAAAGGGATCAAATACATTGTATGCATATAATAAAAAGTTTTCAACTATCGACATGGTATACTTTTTTATTGAAGTGGTGTGAGTTGAAAACTTTTGAATACATGTGATACAGCCAATGATGATGATAATACTATTTAATTTTTCTGTACATGATCTTTCACTACTAAGCCCTGATAGAGGAAAATAGTTGAAGTAGGATGATTATTGACGTAAAACTGATGGATTTGATGATGTAACGACCTGTTTATTCATTTTGAGCAGTAGAGTTTATTTCTTGTAATAGCTGTTTGGGTCGACGGATCCCACGACGGACCGTCATGGGTACGACGAACCGTCGAAGAGGTCTCGTTCCAAAACACTTAGACTCTGGAAATTTGGGTACTGAGATCGATTCTCTGAACTTCGCGACGACATGGCAGCACAGACCGTCGTAGGCAAGACGGACCGTCACAGACCTCTTAAATGAAATTGTCTCTGAACTCTGTGACAGAAACAGCAGGACGGACCGTCGCAGGCACGACGGGCCGTCACAGGCTGCGTACCCCTGAATGGGTCGGATTTCTGTTAAATATTTTTAAGGGGTGTTTTGGACTATTCCTTCTTATGATTATAAAGTTAGTGGTTTAATGATAATAATTCAATTACTTGGGGGTTAAAGGAGATAACCTTGAAATAAATAGTGGGTTACTTTTATCATCTTTTATACTTAATCATATGGTTAGTAAAACAAAGGGGATTTGAAAGAGGAGAAATTAAAAAGAGAAAGAAGAGAGGGAAGAACGAGCGAGAGAAAGAGA